CTACAAACTGCGGTGGAGGAGTTAGCTTCGGACCAATTAAGAATGTTTCATCTGGAGGGAAAATGACTAAGCAAGGACATGGTAACTGTCCTCACTGTGTTGAAGGTTACAAAATTGGTGTGTGTCATGGAATCAAGTTACGAGACAACATGGGATGTTGGGAAAAGTCAGGGGATCAGGGGCAGGTTGATCCTGAGTCAGTCTCTTAACTTCCAGGCTTGAGCTTCCATCTTTCACATTTGATGATTCTGTCTCCAGCACGTAGAACCTAGAGCAGATTCCTATTTATACAGAAAGTTTGGATAAAGAGTGGTTTTGCTGAATGGCTACTGTAGCAGAAAAGCTTGAACTGAGTGTTGCTCAAATCAATAAAATCACCTAATGACTAAGCCCTGTGTTTTCTATCTTTTAAACTGAAATCAGAATGCAACAGATTTCCCTGGGCTTTTGTGAGAATTACATGAAGTAATCTGTATGAAAGCACCTTATCAACTCTGAAGTACTACCCCAATGCAGGCAATTATTTTGGTTGTTGCCATAGCTGGATTATAACTTTTCTAAGAATTAGAATATAATGAAACACTCTTAAACATTAATCTGTCTTCTGTGATTCACAAGATCCTTCAGGAAGTTACAAAATCTCAGGGTCATGGCCGTGGGCATGGAGTAATTCTGTAGAAAAAGATCCTGGCTGTATTTGTATTCTTTGGCTTTTTGGATTCAAATTAAATAGGAGCATATTGACTACATTAAACCCTGAAGGGAATAGAGATCACATACTCTAAGCCCTTCATTTTACAGATGAAGTCACTGAGCCACAGAGAAGCTAAGTGTCCTGCCCAGAATCAAATGTTAATTCACGGCGGATCTGGGAATAAAATCCGGGGTCCTGTCTCCCAACATGTTTTTCATCATTAGTTGAAGAATATCTCAGAAAGTCGGAAATCAGGTGAAAATGTACTAATGAATGTGGCTGCCCCTTAAAGCATGGAATTGAAGAAATATTAGAAATAAATTTAAGGGCCTGGGTGTGTCACCGAAGGATATGACACCATATACTTGACCTATTCGGGAGTGGGGGAGAAGTACAGTAGAATTTTTAGTAACTTTCTTAATCACAGCGGTTTGTTTTCTCTGTACAACTTTCTTTTCAAATATTCTCTGAAACTAATTGGCATTAAAAATGCTGATCTTAGTAAATAGTCCTCCAGAGGCGTGATATGTACACAGGGAATAGTATAACATGGGTGCAGAATCATGGTCTCCCTCTCTCCTTTTTGTCCTTTTCCTAATCATCATTAACATCTATATTCTTTGACTTTGTTGAATTAAAGTTGCAAGAGATGGCCGTAAATAAAGCAAGTTATGTATGTACCTCCCTCGTTCTGCCCATGCAGCTTCTGTTCCGTTTGCAGCTGTGAGCCACGTAAGACTCTCAAGACCAAGCACCCATGAGTGCCTGGGAACAAGTAGCCTGTGAAGGGAGGATTTTATTCCTGGATGCATTAAAAGCAGAGTCCCACCTACACCTCCCTCCTCTTCCCATTTATAAATCTGCTTCTCCAGGGATCTACAGATTTTTGGGCTATATTTTTAGTCTGTTGATAATTTGAGAAAGTCTCCAAGTATCTAAGTCTTGGATGGGTGGGAGTCAATTCACTCAGTCTTTTTTGAATCCCTAATTGATGTTCAAAACCAGTCTCAATTCTGGATCTGGATGGGACATGCATGTTGAAGTACAGTGTGATGGATAAGCACAGATTCTGGAACCAGATTGCCTGGGTTCAAATCTCCACTTCTCTCATTACTAGGGTTACGTGACCTTGGACAAGTCCCTTAAATGCATCGGGCCTCAGTTTCCTAATCTGAATCCCTATCATAGGGTTGTGTGAGCATGCAGTTGAATGAGCTAATATCTATTCATATAAAATGCTTAGAGCAGTACTAGGTGCATAGTAGTGTTTAGTTAATGACTATTAAGTAAATTAAATCAGCCTGATTAGAATTGCCTCCAGGTGCAAGGCTGTATTCCATTTAGACACTGTAACACACAAGGTCTTAAGGGCTTTAGGTTTAAGGAAAAGGGGCTTCTCCCCCTCCCCCGGCTCAATTCTACACCATAACCTTTTTATTCTATTGAATTAAAAAGCAAGTAACAGTGGGTCTTGACTTTGAACACCAAAGTGTATCAAGCCTCTTTCCAGCTCTGACAAACGCGTCCACCTACTTCTCTCTTTATGCGAAAGGAAGAACAGCGACGCTGATAAATGTATTGAGTGGCCTGGTGCAGGTAGCTTGCTCTTTCAGGATCACTTTTGTATGACTGCTGGGATCACCGCAGTCTCCCCTGTAACTTGCTAGGTCCCTCTTGTACACAAGCCCAGGGCATTCGCGTCGGTTTCTGGTGAGGGGGTTTCCACACGGTGGCCCTGGTTGCTTCAGGGGCTGGGCTGTGGGAGAGATTAATGGGAAGTGAAAAGAGAAACTGTTGTGCTTAACCGGCAGAGCTGTTTGGAGTGTGACTCTTCTTGTATTTAGGGAAAAGATTACTCATGAGTATTTTCTTCCATAGAATATAAAGAACCTCAAATTACTACTTGCATCCCCCACCCCCTTCTCACCCGCCTCCCTCCATTGCAGCGTGTCCTCTGCAGAAACTTCAGCATTTTACTCTCATTTCCCCTCCCAAGCGGGATTCAGTTCTGTATTTGCTTTGGGGCCCTTGTTTCCAATAAGCCACCCCGTACTTTTTCCTGTTTCTGCCCGAGCATCTTCTGCTCTCTGGACCTCTCACCTCCAGGCACCTTCCTAGGCCTGAGAGACCAGACCCTGACATATGTCCCCAAATGGGAACTCCCTGTGTGAAGGAGAGGAAGGTCCATAATAACAAATTGCGGTGCCATTCTTGTTCAGAGGTGACACCATTGACAGTAAGGAGTTAGGTTTAAGGTTTTTACCAGTTTGAAAATGGAGATTTTGCTGAGTAACCCTCACTGCCACTCCTACCTCCCTGTGATTCCAGATACGTGTTTTCAAGGTCATTGGAGAGACTTGGTACTTCCCATATCCGTGGACTGCTTTTAATAGGCATCACTTTCTGGCCAGTCAGGAGTCAAAAACAAAAACCTTTAGTGACTGTATTTTATTCTAAAGATCATAAAGCAGTAACACACCATAAATTATTTGAAATTCTCGTTTGTTTCTATGTGAAAAAAAAATTATCCTAAAAACACCAAGAAAAAAAAAAAAACTGTTAAATGCTCATCTCTAATGTTCCAGTGCCCAGTAGTTCTTTTTTTGGTGCACTACAAAAAACGGGTTTTGGTTCTGGGGGGCTTCCACAGGTTTAGAGTAAGCCAACTACCATTCCTCAAAACTACACTTTGCAAAGGAGCCACCTGGAATGTCCAGAGGCCCTGGAGAATTTGAGCCGTTTGTTCCCCACTTCAGCACGTAGGAAGAGCACCCCATGTAGCAAAACAGATTGTTCTTTGGCATGCCTGCTTTAGGATGAAAGGTGATTTTTTCCAGGATCAAACTAAGGGACACTTTTATAACACACTTGTGAAGTCTTCTTAGCAAGTTTAAGTAACTTACATTGAAAGACGGAAGCTCCTCTTAGCAACACTGATGCCGTTGCTGTATTTGAACTATTGATTCACACCATGTGATTTTAGAGAATGAAGATCCATTGAACATCTAGCTTCTTCTGACAAGCAGTTCTTAAATTTGGTCTCATGTCTCCTTTTGATTCGTAAAAAGTAATGGAGACTCCAAAGAGCTTTTGCTTATGTAGGTTATAGCTATCTGTAGTTACCATATTATTATATAAATTAAAACTGGGTATTTACAAAATATTTATGAATGTAGCAAGTAAAATAGTAAGCCAACTCTATATTAATGCGAACATATATTTTAAAATACATTTTCCCAGACCAAAAGTAATTTGTGAGAAGAGTGGCATTGTTACACATTTTTGAAAGACTCTTGAAAGTCCGGCTTAATGGAAGATGGCTGGACTGCCATCTCTGTTTCTGCATTCAATCTTTGCAAGATCACAATGTCATATGCCTTCTAGAACATTCCACCTAAGAATGAGAGTGAAAAAGGCAAATAATTAATATTGTTATGATAAGATGTTTTACTTCATAGGCACCCCACAAAGGTCTCAGGAACCCTGATGGGTCCCGAGATCACAGTTTGAGAACCAGTGTTCTAACTTATCAAAGATTTCCCACAGCACCTGAGCCAACCTCTCAGCCTCTGCTCTGTACCCCTCTCCTGCCCACTTGGGTCCTACTCAGAGTTCAAGTACCACCCCACCAGGAAGCTCTCATGTCAGTGAGTAGAATAAAAAGGCAGAAGACTTTTATCCTTACCTTGCCCTCTTATTCGCAGAGGCCAGCCTGATGGTTTCCCAGAGGCTGAGTGACTTGCTCTTCCTGGAAGAACCGTCAGGGAACATTTCATTAGTTGGCAGCTTTGGAAGGTCAAGCCCAGCTCTGGAACATTCTTTCTTCAGAAGGACCCTGGGCTACAATCAGATCAGCTCTGAATCTGAGGACCCTCCAACCACACTGACATGTGTCATAGTTCTGAGCCCCCATGGGTGCCTTGGGCACCCTGGAACAGCGCCTGGAACTGGGCAAGGAAGGGCAGGTCTCTAAGACCTACCGTCCCTTAAACACATAGAAAAGGATCTTTTTCTCATTTTGCCTCTAAATAAAAGCAAAAGTGTTAATCCGACAGCACACCCCAGAGTAGGGTTTGGTGTACAAACTGCTCCCTGGACCCCTCTTAGAGGCTGCTTCTGGGTCTGGAGAAGCCCCCGGTGGGGCGGCTCAAACAAGGGCTGGAGAGGGGACTCAGAGTTGAACATAAGGGCTCTTGAGATGTGGAGACTCAATTTTGTTAACTATTCAGAGATCTCCTCCGTTTATTCCAGCTGTCTAACTGACAAGACCTTTCTCTCTTTCTTTGCCTCACGCTTTCTCCAACAGGCTTGCAGCCAATTTACTGGAGCAGGGATGACGTAGCCCAGTGGCTCAAGTGGGCTGAAAATGAGTTTTCTTTAAGGCCAATTGACAGCAACACGTTTGAAATGAATGGCAAAGCTCTCCTGCTGCTGACCAAAGAGGACTTTCGCTATCGATCTCCTCATTCAGGTGAGAGTCTGGACTCTTGGCATATGCTCCACTTGGAAAGTCTGTTAGTTAGTGGTTGGTCTTTACCACCCCTCACCCTGCCCAAGAAATCCCAACAGTGAGTCATCACAAGGAAGGGATGACGATGGAAGGAAGTTGAAGGAAGATTATACTGGCATGAGCCAGTTTGAGGAAAGAAGAGGAAGCGTTTACAGACCAAGGGGGAGAATTTTAAGCTTAGGAGAGGAACCCAGTTTAGTCCTATGGACACTGAAACTTAAGGGCTCTAACTGTGCCACTAAGAAGAAAAAGAAGGCTGGCCATGGTGACTCACTCCTGTAATCCCAGCACTTTGGGGGGGTGAGGAGGGTGAATTGCTTGAGTCCAGGAGTTTGAGACCAGCCTGGGCAATGTAGCAAAACCTCATCTCTACAGAAACTTTAAAAATTAGCTGAGTGTGGTGGTGCACACCTGTAGTCCCAGCCACTCAGGAGGCTGAGGTGGGAGGATTGCTTGAACCAAAGAGGTGGAGGCTGCGGTGAGCTGAGATCATACCACTGCACTCCAGCCCAGGTGACAGAGCGAGAACCTGTCTCAGAAAAAGAAAAAGATGCCATTCTGGCCCTTCGACTCTCTAAAAGAGATACCTGAGAGTGAGTGCAGGCTGTGAACTGCTCAACCGAAAACAGAGAGGAAGGAGGAAGATATAGAAGGGCTAGAAAAGAAAGTAGTAATGGGGGAACTGCCAATAAAGACTGGGAAATGGGAGATCCTAGTAGCCAAGGCCAGTTTAGAAAGGCTTCAAGTGGTTTCCCTTAGAAGCAGGACTCGTTTGAGGTAATGCATCTTGTAGCCTGTAGAAATCCTAAAAAATACAAGCGGAGGTCTCCTCGGGTTCATCTGACTCAGAAAGCTTGTCTAATTAAGGGCCCTGAGACTGCGTTAGAAGATTTCAATTCAGTAACAAACATCTCTACCTGCAAAGTGTATTGCTCATGTGGATAAGGCTTCAAAGATTTGTCTCAGTTTAATTTCCTAAACCCTGTGGATATTTAGAAGGTATCTGTCTGGAAACTACATATGTCAAAGGGGAACTGTGATCTCAGGTTTATGCCTCTTGCGGGATTAGTTACTGAAGTACTCAAGGCCCTCCTTTTACTGAATCCTATTGCAGACCTCGACTCTGATGTAACTTGACAAAGGGTGAGGATCCTGCAGAAGGTCTTGGTGTAGTCCCTAACTATGTTCAACCTTTATTTACTCCTGGAGACCTGCCAGAAGTTAATAAACTAACCGTCAGGAGGAAACATCCCTCATTATAGGAGATGAGATAAAGCCCCAGCACCCGTATCTCCCCTCTTCTTCCCAATTGCCACAGACCGTTTATGTGAAGAAATGCTAAAGGAGAAGTTCCCCAAAAGTAAGAGATGTTATTGAAACTTGAAAATTTGTCTCCAAAAACAAGTAATTTGGAAGGGACACAAATATACCTGAAATATTTTATCTCAGATCATCAATTCTTTATGTAATCTCACAGTAAGAAAACTATAAAACAGCCATATAAATAAATAAAACTATCCTAAATAGTTCTTTTGAACTTATTACAAAATAATTCCCTTTTCTATTCCAGTGGAAACTCAGAGATATACTCAAAGAGGCAATGTTATATATCTGGAGGAAAAATCCCTACCTCTTTAGTGTTCCAATGAAACCATTCATGTAAAGCAAACAAAGGAAAATACAGCGGTGGGTTTTGACTTGATTTGACTTGGACCTTGGGCAAACTTTCCTCCCAAGTCTTCATACATTTCCCCTTCATCCTATCTCAGGTGCTCCTTTTTATAGCTGGTTTATTTTCCTCCACAGTGACCTCTCAGCGTTATTTGTGAAACTGGGTTCTCTCTGCTCAAAGCTATGAACAAAGATATGTGAAAATCTGTCCGCAGTTCCTTGCCACTTTGTCCAAAGTATTTGTCGGGTGGGCCATGTGAAAGATGGTGCTGCTGTCGAGGAAGTTGCTGTCCGGTTAGAGGCAGGATTGCATTGATCTAAAGGCCAAAGAAGGATGGAGGAGGGCGAGAGCAGAGTAGGATGGGTCTCAGGAGAGAAGGAATGGAGTTGGTTTGGACCGTGAAGAATGGGTGGGATTGAGTAGGCAGAGGGTAATTGGCACAGCATCACCAAGTATATTTGGGTGATGGTGAGAATACCTACCTGATAATTAGAAGAGGCAGAAAAGGCAGGAAGGCCTGATAAGCCTGATGCACTAGAATGGATGTTGAGATGCTCTAGATCACAGTTAGGAGGTGGCAATAGACATTCATTCCATGAGTATTCACCAAGCAACTCTATGCCGGAGGTACACAGGTACAGGCTAAGGGAGTTCAGAGATTACAAGGGCCATTTCTAGCGGGATTATCAAACAGACCTCATAGACATGGTAATGGAGCCTGACTTTGAAAACTTGGAGAGGTAAACAAGAAGGAGATGAGGAAGTGTGTTAAGGAGATGTAGGCCAGCGTACAAGGAAGAGGAATTCAGAGAGAAGGCTGCACATGCTAGACACTCCCTTTGAAACATGGTCAAACATCCCTCACCATACCTCTCCGGATTGTCTGATTGCCTCCTCACATTTCAAACTGGTGGACTGTCTCCTGGAAGGCGTCCCTTGACTGCCTTCCCTATTTCCCTAATTCCACTCCACCTTCCTTTCTCCCATCTTGTTCTACCTCCATCTGGGCTAGGTGCTGTTTCTCTTTTATCTTAGAGCATTCTCTACCTCTGTCATGGCCCTTGACACATACACACACACACGCACATACAGTGTTATATACATTGTTTGATGGTTGTTTGCTACTCTGGATCCCTCCCCTAGAGTGGAAAGTTCAATGTGGGCAGTGATTGTGTTCTATTAAGCCGCCAAGTCTCCAGTACCTAACACCAGGGCATGGCATCCAGGTGGCACTCAACAAATGCAGGTTGAATGATGACCCAGTTTGACAGTACCCAGGTTAAGAAGTTTGGATTTTATTTTACAGGTAATTGGAAACCACTGGAAAGTTTTGATCAGGAAAAATATGATTGGAGCTCTCTTTTTGCAACAGACATTTGCCATCAGTACATAGGGTAGATTCATTGGCTTACTTAAAGCAGGAAAGCTAGTTAGAGTCCTTGCTGTGATCCTAATGGGAGGCAATGAAGCCCAGACTGGATCAGTGAGATCAAAATAATGCTCAGGCCCAAAGTGGCTAGCTAAGATGGGGAGCTGACCTGGAAGTAGTGGTAAGAGTTCATTTTTGAGCACGCAGTGCCAGTACATTCAGGAAGACTTGTCCTGTTCTCCAGTTGGAAATCTAAAACAAGAGGCAGGCCAGAGCTAGGAATAATAGATGTGAGCATCATACATCATCTCCATTATGTAGAATTTTATGAGCTGGGAATAAAGATAAATTTATACTGAAGGTAATTTAATTAAGGCACCCACTAGAAAGCCATGGACAGAATTTCAAGGTGATGCCTGCCAGCAGGGCCTACAGGACAACTTATCACAGAACACAGGAGTATTGTGAATGGGTTTATAAGACAGAATTAAGAAGGAGTTGAGAAGACCCATCTCATGAAGGGATCACCCAGCAAGAGGAGGAAGGCCACGGGCATTCTCCTTAGGCAAGGGCAAGATCTAGATTGAAAATCCTTTTTATTTTCCAGATGTAACATTTGTCACTGTTTCTTCTGACGTGGGCTTTCGGCTTTAGCAGTTTGGTGTAGTGGAAGTCCTCAGGCCTGGGTTCTACACCTGGCCCTTCACAAATCACATCACTTCACTTGGCCTTATTTTCCGCATCCACAAAATGTGGTTCTCACCACATGGATCCTAAGCTTCCTTCCATCCTTAACAGTTCAGCCCAACTTCAGCACCGAAACAGTGTTAAGTTTCTAGCAAACACTGTAGCTATCTATGCTGTCTATATATGGAAACAACATTCCTTAACACAACTCCTCTCCAATGTAGAGAGGAGAGCACTGGACCCAATGAATTATAATTACCTGAAATACAATTATACCTTAAGTCAAATACAGTAGACTCCCTGAATGCCATATTCATTGACCAGCTTAACAAATTACATTTATCACATCCACTTCCAGGACAAGAATCCTCCATTTTCAACCCCTAGGATAAAGCAGGGAACATTTGCCATGTGCTTTAAATAATTATATGGTCTCTAACCGGAAGATTTCAAGGTTGAAGACAAATGGGATATTTCCTTTGGAATAGTCTCCCAGTTGGAGGATATAACAGATGACAAATTTATAACATTTGTAAAGTTGAAGAATAAATGGAAGGGATCCCACTTTTATAAAACTTCACCTGAACAGAATAATTTTACATAGACCTTGGGCTACTAGATAGTTATCACATTAACTTGTTCTTGTTCTGAAGTAATTTAAATTCAGAGATGTATTTGATTACCTGACTACTTTGAGACTCTGAGAAGACTCATTGACAGGAAGGAACGTCTAGACAGGTTGGCATTTGTATTAACCCTTACTTAGGGTTATCCATTGCATGACATTCAGGTGGAATGGATTTAGGTACCCATTATTTTCTATGAACAAGGAAACCCACAAGTTATTATCAATTTAATTCATGTTACGCTCACTTGCTATCAATGCTAAAAAAGGGAAAGAAACATATGTTCAGAGTTCCTTCAATTCAGCAAAAATGTATTGGGGATTTGCTAAATATATTGAGGATTTTAGTAGACTAAAATCTGCAGTCTTTTCATATACTAGAGTGTGATTTTGCAAATTGTTTCTTCCCTTTCCAACCCACCAGAACCTTTGTCTTTGGAAATATGCTTTGCTTATATTTTTCAAATATAGTAAAATTTTCTTTCAAAGTTAAACCAAAAATACTGGTCTTTACATAGTATTTCTTGAATCAGTTGGCCTATTAATTTCTATTAAGCAATGGTAGGTTTGCAGATTGAAGGACTGTGTCAACTGGCTGTTTTAGAATT